TGCATACATGTTACCTTTAGTCATCACGTATATTTCGTGGTCCCTTAGGTACTCGGCCCCATTGCTTATCCATACGCCCAGATATTTGTATTTATCTGTTATCTCTAGCGTGACCTTCTGTATCCTAAGCTCACTACCTTCATAATCATTAAAAATCATGACCGCTAATTTTTCCTTACCGAATCTGAAATCTAACCTATCTCCCTCATTACCGTAGATGTCCATCAACCTCTGCAAATCTTCCTTGTTGTTGGCCATTAGCACTATATCATCTGCGTACATTAATGCTGGTAGTGCCTGATCAATGAGAGCCTGGACTTGCGGCCAGCCATCTAGTGAGCTTTCTTTCAATCAGCGGAAGTTGACTGCTTGAGTGGTGGCACGCCATCAAGTGAGAATTGCTAGAGTCACCAGAGAGGACACCTTGAGTGGTGGTGTGCCATCTGCTCAGTAAATCAATAATCACCGCAGAAGTGTACACACCGCCGCCACGGTTGGACCAGGTGCCAGTATAAGAAGTTCGCCAAACAAGATCGTAAAGAACAAAAGCAACATTCTCACCTGGCGTTTTTGTCTACCTTGCTTACTTGGTGACGCAGACCATTATTTACATGAAATCTATAGCGTATGTATGTTCTCGTTTTGCCTTGTAAATGCAGCATGTGATATGAATGGTCTTCCCTACTGAATTTCTATGCCGCCAACCATTTGTTCTTTCTAACTTCACATGAATATTGTGCGCAGTCAAATAATGACACCTCATTTGTGTTTATGACCGCGTGAAGCTGCAAAACGCGATATCTTATTAGGTTTGAGTGATTAGTGCTGAGAGGGTTCATGTGCTTTTAAAAACAGGCGGCGAGGAGGATATATCTTCGTGCGAATGGTAGGGAACCAGTCTTGTCACTTAACGCGGGATGGCGAGGGGCCCTTCAAAAGCCTAACTCCGGCAATTTTTTGAACATGTAAGAGTGATGGTGGTTTTATGTTCCTGAGACAATGTTTCCACGCGCGCAATAAATTCTGAAAAAATCCGAAAATTCCGGAAATTCTGAAAAAATCCGAAAATGATTTTTAAAAAGTAAGAAACCGCGATACCGAAGCCGGAAAACAACGAAGTGCTCTGTAGATACCACGTACAACAATGTCAGAATCAGAAATAATGCATGGCATGCCATTCCTTTAAGCGCGGACTACGAAAACTGTGAAAGCCGCGAAGAGCAGACGCTCAGCGGGTAGGTCAGAATGTCAACAACGCCGCACCATGTCTGTAACTGATCGCGCCTCATTCAGAAGCTCCCCGGAGATGTCAAACAGTGAGAGCTACGATTCAGACCCATTTAGAAATCAACAATTTCTCTTCGATGGGGCAGAACAGATCTTCGTGCTTGGTTGCGTAGTTCCGCAGAACGCCGTGAGATGACGCAGACCATATTTGTCAAGGTCATTCAAGTCCGTGCCTACGGCGGTTGGTTGAAACGCTTACGCTGTTACGGGGTGATATGCCCGGGGAGGGGTTGAGGCTGCCACCCAGGATCCGACGTAGGACGACTCTTGCAACGCGTCTCACGAACAAGTAGAATATGCGTTTAAGTTACATATTTACAAGAGAAGTACTTTGCAACGAGAGCGTACAGACGCGCCTTTCCATCACAAGCGAAGTCCAGAGAGAGAGCCCAGCGCACTCTCGACACGCTCCTTTTATAGCCGTCCGTGCATGCGCTAGACGCCGACGGCGTACAGCAGACCTGCCGATGCACGTTCTTCGCAGCGCGCCAAGAGATTTACCGCGTTCCTGTGGAACGCGGACAGCGTATGGCAGGTACGCCGATGAGCGTCCCTCGCATGCCGGTTCCTTGTATTGCCGGTTATAACAGGGGATTCTAAATAGGAAATCACGTGTGGCCCTTGATGATGTTTGATGTTTTATGGCGCAAGGGCCGATTCACGGCCAAAGAGCGCCAGTTCATCTTACTAAAAATATGGACAATGATTGTGATAAGCGGCTGTATAAGGGCCATAAAATTCCTCGCAGTAAGGCGGGTAAAAACATACAAGTAATAAAATCATGACCATGCCGTGAAAGGTGTGTGTGATGTGAACAGATGACAAAAGTTGGTGATAATAAAAGACGATGGCGGATATGTATGGCAATAGCACAAGTGCCTCACTCGTTCAAACCCTTGCGTCCAAGGGCCGTGAGGCATGTGCTTTTTTGTGTAGCCACCGCAGCAAAAACCTCTCTGGAGAGGTCATGCTACGGTATGCCCGGGTATATAACATGAAAGCTGTGAATTTCTTTTAAAAACGCTAACAATGAATTATGACTAAAAAGTGGTTCCCTACCGACAAACATTGCAGGGTGTAAAGGTATATGTTGTCGGTAGAGTATTGGAAAATGTTGTTTTCTAAGAGTTTCTAAGTGTTTACACTGAATTAAAATGTGAAGGACGGTTAAGTATTCACCACATCTGTCACACAATGGTGGATTGCCACCAGACAAAAGGTGTGTGTGTGTCGTGTATGTCTGTCCTATCCTGAGTCTTGTTAGTGTTACCTCTGTTAGACGCGATTTTGATACTGGTGGCCAATGGCCAAGGTGTGGCTTGATAACGTGTAGTTTGTTTTGTGTGTGTGTATCCCACTTGCTCTGCCAGTAGTCCCTGAGTTTTCGTTTGAGAGACGGCTTAAGATCAAGGGCCGGGATTGATGTCGGTGTAACGGCGGTGCTTTCGTGGGCGGATGCAGCAAGCTGATCCGCCATCACGTTGCCTTGAATCTCACGGTGCCCTGGCACCCAGCACACAACAACATGTCTGTTGAGTGTGTAGAGGGTGCATAAAATGGAGTAAAGTGAAACGAGGACAGGGTTTTTTTGTTTTTTAAGACTGTGCAGAGCCGTTACCACACTGAGGGAGTCTGTATAAATTACTGCTTTTTGTATTTGTGATTGTTTGATATGTTTAGCTGCCACAAGTATCGCGTAAGCTTCCGCTGTGAAGATACTTGTGCCTGGATGTAGAGGGCCAGCATCCGAAAAGGAAGGGCCAACAGCAGCGTAGGACACAGAAGAGTTAGACTTAGAGGCATCTGTAAAAACCTCACGTGTGGCCCTTAACGCAACGTCACTTGCCACTCGGAAAAGGACATCACGCGCTCAATCAAAGAAGTACCGGCCAGACCCACACAATTCATAGTAGACAAGCAGACACTGAATTTGCACGTCAGTTCCATCGCTTGCAAACGTCAATGTGACAAACAAAATGTCCCATTAATTCTGGCAAGCTAGATGAGCATATAGAGGAAAGCTATAAAACCAGTTTGAAATGAATTTGCAAAACTCTCAAGCCTGCAGTTAGGCATAAACGGCACAAATGGGCAATTGAACGCGCACAGTGAATTTCATTGAGATCCATTCACCTCAGCAAAAATTGACAGAGTAGGCCTTGAAGTGTCGCGCAGCCCCATTGATTTGCACGGGTTTCCTCTACGCTTCTGCATGACAGCTTTTATGCACGACCGGTTTCACCTTGTTTCCGCTTCGTGGTCAGTTGCAGTAGCTTACCATAATGAATGGAAGCCTTCGCTTGAACTGGGGTTTGCCATCTGGAAGCAGAACATTATATATATTCATGCCTCTTACGGAGTCCCGTGATATGAAAAAATGATCGACCAACGTATGCAAGTGTCTTTGTTACCGCCGTTAGTGCTTTTATCCTCTGATTATGTGGTGAAGTTGGAGTGAATACAAGGTCCTTCACAGCTCTACCCTTGCTGATGTCATTGATGGGATCGACGCTTGGAGCGGCTATGATTTGTTGAAGAGCTTGTGCTGCCTAACTGGATGGCTCAGATCTGTAACGTGGTGGCTGCCTCCAGACGACTCGAACTTCGATTGGTGCCTAGCCTTTATACTGTGTTTTGTTGTCAGCAGTTTATCTAACGGATCTTCTGCGCCGTTCGCTAGGCGTCTGTTTAGAGCCTCGCTCTACAGTGACCGCCATTTTAGGTTCCTTGCGTGAACTTTATGGCTGTCACTAAGTTAACGAAAATGGTGTCAGGAGCAATATTAGGTTCATTGATCAACATGCCGTTCACCGGTGAGGAGTTCAGACGTAGTCTGTGTGTAAGAAAACCCAATCATCATTGGTGAAAAAGCCCTACTTTAAAATAACACATGAATATCTGAAATATCAATGTCTTCGGTGAGTGCCTTTGCGGACACTCAATGGATTGCATGGATGCGGATGCTGGATAAATCTTCCCGCGAAACTTTAACGCATGTATTTATCTGCTTAACTGCGCGAACCTACAGTTTGTAATTGATGACTAATCACCTAAATTCGGCTGTGTACAATGTAAGAAAATACTGTAAAATTGATTGGTATGGTTTTTCAAAAGGAAACATCAAATTGTGACTTGACTTTGAGCACTTCTAATTTTTGGCAGGCTACGGACCACAGTGCAATATTCAACACGTAAACTCTTTGGTACGGTGATGCATTAAAGTATTGTTCCCTGCAGTGCGTCTTCACAGAAATTTAGTGAGTTATGAATGCGATTCTATTTTAGTAATTTTACTGACACCTGTCAACCTACTGAATTAGTCGTGCTAACAATACACCGCTCATAATGTTTTTTCACCCTACTAGATCCATCTGTAGGGCGCACAGTGTACTTGTTCAATGAGCAGGGTACATGTTAATAAGCGAGACTGCAGCGTGAACGTCATTAAAACGTTACTACGTTGTAAGGCTCAAAGCATAGATGTATTTCAAAGCTAGCGCTCCTTTGAAATATGCGTTCTTTGAGTTTTTAGTTTAGCTGTCGATGCCTTTGTCACGAGTTCAGAAAGTATTAGGAACGAAGTGTCAAAAAGTTAGTTATAGTGATTATAAAGAAAATAGACGGAGCTAAACAGAAACCCCAAAATCGCCCTTCAATTTTGTGCATTTTTGTTTTTATAACAATCATGAAGGTTAGGAGATATTAGCTTCGAGTCAATAGGATTTCATTACGTTTTATTACTTTTCAGATTGATTTTTATGAAGGAATCAATGACCTTTCAAACAATATGCAACACAAAACAAGCAGTGTTGTTGCAATGTCGATGAATACGTGGAACTAATACAGGCTGCTTGATAATGAGTTCAACTAATGGTCAAAGTGTGATGCTTTTAATTCTCTTTCGAAGGTAGCGCAAGTCACTCTGTTCCTGGAGACGGACGTTTGGAGCACCGCTTGGAATTTTCTTCTTGCGTAGGGAAACTCTGATAAGTCCCTCGAAGATCGTGCGCACTTGGGATGACAGGTGTATTCCAGCTCATCGTGTCGCAATCAGACCTTTTCAATATGAGTGATCCAGTAAAGAAAACATTAGAATTCAATCAACCAAAGGAACAAGCAGGATTTCGAACAGGCTACTCAACAATCGACCACATTCATACTATCAATCACGTAATAGAGAAATGCTCAGAATATAACCAACCACTATACATAGCCTTCATAGATTACGAGAAGGCATTTGATTCGGTAGAAATATCAGCCGTCATGCAGACACTGCGGAATCAGGGCGTCGATAAAGTATATATAAACATCCTGGAAGAAATTTACAGACGATCAACTGCTACCATAGTGCTTCATAAAGAAAGCAACAGAATCCCAATCAAGAAGGGTGTAAGGCAGGGGGACACAATCTCCCCAATGCTATTTACCGCGTGCTTACAGGAGGTTTTCAGAAGCCTAGAATGTGAACAGTTAGGGATAAGAGTTAATGGAGAGTACCTTAGTAACCTGCGCTTCGCCGATGACATTGCATTGCTGAGTAACTCAGGGGACGAATTCCAACTCAGATTACGGAGTTAGACAAGAAGAGCAGAAAGGTAGGTCTTAAAATAAATAAAATAAATCTGCAGAAAACTAAAGTAATGTACAACAACGTCGGAAAAGAGCAGCGCTTCGAGATGGGTAATAGTGCACTTCAAGTTGTAAAAAACTATGTCTACTTAGGGCAGGTAATAACCGCGGAGCCGAACCACGAGACTGAAGTAACTAGAAGTATAAGAATGGGCTGGAGCAAATTTGGCAAGCACTCTCAAATTATGACAGGTAGATTGCACTATCCCTCAAGAGAAAGGTATATAACAACTGTATCTTGCCGGTAGTTAGCTACGGAGCAGAAACCTGGAGACTTACAAAGAGGGTTCAGCTTAAATTGAGGACGACGCAGCGAGCAATGGAAAAAAAATGGTAGGTGTAACCTTAAGAGACAAGAAGAGAGCAGTGTGGATTAGGGAAAAAACGGGGGTTAAGGATATCATAGCTGATATCAAGAAGAAGAAATGGACATGCGCCGGGCATGTAGCGCGTAGACAGGATAACCGCTGGTCGTTAAGAGTAACTAACTGAATTCCCAGAGAAGGAAAGCGGGTTAGGGGGAGACAGAAGGATAGGTGGGCAGATGAGATTAAGAAGTTTGCGGGTATAAATTTGCAGCAGCAAGCACAGGACCAGGTTAACTGGCGGAACATGGGAGAGGCCTTTGTCCTGCAGTGGACGTAGTCAGGCTGATGATGATAATAATGATGATGATGATGATGATGATGATCCAGAAGAGAAAGCTATCAGTGTTTGTCCCTAAGTACTTCATTGTTTGTCCTTAAGGTTTAGCCTTAAGGGACAGAAACAGATAAGAGGGGTGAGAAAAACAAGGGGTGTTAAGGATACCATAGTTCGCATCAAGAAGAATTATTGTAATAGGCTTGGTAAGTAGCGCGTAGGTCCCACTGGTAATAAGGGGGACTGACTGGCTTTCAAGGGAAGACAAACACGTGCGGGGGCCCAAACAGTTAAGCAAGTAGAGAAAATTAAAATGTTCGCATGTATAACACAGCAAAAAAAGCACAAAACAGGGTTGATAGGCGAATCTTGGGAGAGGTTTTCGCCCTGCAGCGGGGTGATGATGATAAGGAGTTTCATAATTGGCAAGTGGAATAGACACTTAATATTGCTTGAACAGCTTTTGTAACGGGGTGAAATAGTTTAGTTACAATTATTATGTGTAAACTGTCAACTCTCGACCTATTAGTTGTTATTTAGCTTACACAGGTGCACGTATAGTGTAGTGAATATGAATACTCAAACTGAGTTGATGACCCTGGCACTTGTCCCTGCAGGCATCCTTAATCAAACGGTGTCACCATAAACAAAGGAAGCCGGAGTGCACCTGTGAAACTTGCATGCGCTTGGTCCCTGAGAACGCGATTAGCAAATATTCAAAGGAGCGAGATTGTGTCCGCCGTTGTATGAATGTGAGATTCGGAACATGACTCCACACTGCATAGTGCGACAATAGCTCTTGACTCAAGCTTTCTCCACGGCTTTGTGCTTTATGAAATAGCTCAATCGAATAATACGCTTGGTCAAATTATATGAGTCGCAAAACTTGGAACGAAAAGTGTCGAAAACTTATCGCTACAGCCGTTGACGCCCGCCGACGATTGAAGTGCTGCTTTGTGAGGAGAGGAAATAGCCAACACTGAAACTCAATGTAATTTTTCTTACAAATACCATAATTTATATATGTCAAAGTTAACTATCAACTTACTTTACAGTGTATCTGACACCTGGATAAATAGTTGATTGCCTCGATTTTAGGTCGAGTGCCCTAAATGGCTGGGGGGGAGGCGTATCTAGAATATTCTATTAGAGCTTGTGTTTACTTCGGTGGTTCAGTGCATTGCGGGATCAACAAGGCATTTTTCACTTTTTTGTGGTAGTTTCGCGCGTGCCTCCCATAGTTTATTTATTTGCTTATGTACTGTCTACTGGTGTGGCATTTCTCAGCTGAACTAGCTCGCAGGTTGTGTAGATTACCGCACCTTGAATGCCGACTGCTATCACTGGCGCACAGCCAGCCTACGCTCACCAATTGTGACGGTAAATGTGACATGCTAGGCAACAGGCACTCTACTCTGTGGTTGCCAAAGCGATGTTCTCAAAGCTGCAGTCTCACTGCAGTAGTTTTCAACGATTGAGCAACGTCAGTTTTTGAACAACTATGCTAATGTACTTGTGAACAGTTGTGTCAAAATTGCGTCTGCGAAGTGTTTTGCGCCATTGTAAGTAAGCCATTTGGCTAATAAAAGAACTTCGCTTCATCAAGCTGTGGTTTTTTGTTTGTTTTCTTTCCCGCGTGCAATTATCAAGTCACGAGGCACAATGAAATCTGCTATACAAAACGCCACGTAAAATTTCAGCATTTAAGAACAAAAATTTGATTTTGCATTACGTAGGGCAAATGCCCGACGTCACAGCCACTTCCGGTTGTGACTTCATATATAATTTTGTATTTTTTTGTTTGCTTCTGGTTGCTCCTTTCATACGTAAATGACGACGGTGACAATGGGCCGCTAAATACTGGATTCATAATCTTCTACGGGAGTTATGCTATCAGTTTACATATATTTTGTAATACGTGTGAGAAACGTTGCTACACAAACGTTCATCATTTTCTGTGTGGCCCAGACAAAAGCAGAGAAAGAGAAGGAACAAACAGAGGCATGCATTAACCGATTGTTATTGAAGTCCAACAAGTTGCGGTCGCTAACAGCAGGTGGTTATCACTCGATGATGCTTTACATGCGTGCCTTTTAATGACACTTGACTGGCTTTTTAACGACACTTTCTGCAGTTTTTGTTCACACTTTCTTCTTGGTTGATGGAATGGTGTTGCCATCTGGATGCGGTATAGTCAAGAAATGCTCCGTGGCAGGTGCTTAGCCAGAAATTTTTTTAGGGTTGTGTGGGGACACCACCTTCATCCCACAGACTCGCGCCGACTGGGGGTGTTTCAGTAGTCTGAGCACCTCGGAGGCTTTCGATGAAACCTTGAGATCGCGTCAGCCAGCTACGGCAGAAGTGGGCGACAATATGTTGATCACGAATCCACTGAATATTTCGAACAAGATAGTTAAGACAAACACCAATTCACCTTGACGCACCAGAACTTCCACACCCCCGATGTGCTTTCGTCACGGTCGTGGTGTGTCTGACAGGGGGCAGTGACGGCTGCGGCGGAATCACTTCGGTGAATGTCGGATACGTTGCTCTAGCATTGCGTTTGACTGTGCGGTGCCGTACCGTTGCTAGAGTAACTGCACTGTGGCTATACTTTGCACGGACACTGATGTTACGTCAGACTATAAAGGGTTCTCAGTGTGGTAGATACAGAGAGAGCAAAAATATTGTGGTAACGAAACACGAACCAAACAGTCGGGAGAGAGCCCAATTCTGTGCAGTTAGCTCTATTTAGATGACCCCTCGGGCCCTTTAACGAAGACCTGGTAGACCCCAGAAGGCCGCTCGAAGAGGTCATCTCCCTAAAGCTTTTTGGTTTCAAGGGCGAGCGGGAAATTCATGAAGGGAGGAAATAATTCGTGGAGCACACGACCATGATATAGCTCGCCATTGGGAACTACCAGAGCCCAACCGACGAACAAGAGTCTGCGTTGCGGTCTGGGTAAAATTTATATGTCCAGCATCTTATGGTTGAGCTCAGTCTGGTCTCCGTGGCCACCCTTACTGTGCATGCACAACAGCTGCAGCTCAAGCATGCTCAGAACGCGCTCACGCACTAGCGTGTTCACCTCGGCTGCTGAGTCGCAGGTCGCGGGATCGAATCCCGGCTGCAGCGGCTGTATTTCCTATGGAGGCGGAAATGCTGTAGGCCCATGGGCTCAGATTTGACTGTACGTTAAAGAACCCCTGGTGGTCGACATTTTCGGAGCACTCCACTATGGCGTCTCTCATAATCAGGTGGTGGTTTTGAGACGTTAAACCTCACATATCAAATCACTAGCGTGTTCGCGCCTATGTAAGGCGCTGGGTAAGAGGATGTGGCCTTTTTTTACACTCTTTCGGCCATCATGTGATGGCGTCAGGAAATCAGATTCTGCAGACGTGCGCTGAAGCAACGCATTGCATCATAAGCAGAACGTGCTAACACGCGGTAGCGCGTTCGGACATGGGTATGTTGCTCTGTAAGAGATTGTGGCTAATTGTGGCGGTCTCTTACACTCTGCCGGCAATCCCGCAATGGCGTCGGGGGCTGAGACTCTGCAGCTGCGCGATTAATGCACGTGCGCCGCGTGGCATTGCGATGAACCAGCGTGGCGTGGAGTTCTTGTATATGCTACCTTTAGGTAGCAGAGTTGCGCTAAGGTACGCCATCTTGGGTTCAAACGTCTTGCGGGAAAGCCACTCACCACCCGCGTAGGAGCAGCGCTCACGCTTTAGGGTACTAACGTTGCTTTATTTATTCTTTTTGCTTTCTTTTCTCTGTA